ACAGCCATCCTTTGGCCATATTTCCCTGGCTTTTCCTGAAGTTGGGGGGTTTTGCAGTTAATAAGCCTGGTTTTTAGATTTTTAGGATCAAACCTGTTCCAATTCTGTAAAAAAACCAATATTTTATTATTGTTTTAAATCATGTGTGTATGAGAGATTTGTGTGAATGACAGCAGTGCCTGCTGAGGCCAACAGGTGGTGGACCCCTTACCCCCCTACCCTCCTACACCCGCACCCCCCACCCGAAGCTGTGAATCGCCACGTGTGCGCTCGCCATCAAACTCAGGGTCCTCTGCATGAGCAGCTCTTCAGCACTGAGCCAGCCACAGGCCCTGGACTTATTTCTTTTCTTTAATTTTTTTTTCCAGTATGTAATGTGTGTGCGCATGTGCCCCCACACGCACTGGGAGGCCAGATGTGATGTGGGTCTCTCCACCGCGTTCTCCACCTTTTCTCTTTGTTTTTCAAGACAGGGTTTCTCTGTGTAGCCCTGGCTGTCCTGGAACTCACTCTGTAGACCAGGATAGCCTCAAACTCAGAGATCCACCTGCCTCTGCCTCCCAAGTGCTGGGTTTAAAAGCAAGCACCACCTCTGCCCGGCTTCTCCACCTTGATTTGAGACAGAGTCTCACTGAATCCAGCCCTTGCTGACTGAGCTAGACTGGCTGATTGGTGAGCTCTGAGGAGCTGCATCTCTCCAGGGTTACAGATGTGTGCAGCTGCACCAGGCTCTCTTATGCAGGGCCTGGGATTGAATTCAGGTCTCTAAGCCTCTGAGGCAGGCGCCTCACCAACTGAGGCATCTCAGCAGTCCCTTATTTTTCTTCCATTCCTTTTAGCCTGCTCTCCGGCTTCAGGCAGAGACTGTGCTCTAAATCGTCTCCCAAGATTGGAATTAGTTAATAACAGTGCACGCCCGCTCTTCTGTGGTAAAACCCTGACCAAAAGTAACTTAAGGAAGAAAGGTTTGCATCTGCTTACACATCCAGGTAACAGTCCATCGCTGGAGGCAGGAACAGAAGCAGAAGCCATGTAGGAAGGTGGCTCACTGGTTCACTCTCCAGGGCTTGCTCCACCCACTTTCTTACAGCACTGTGGGTAAAGCTGGGCCCTCCCACATCAATCAACAATTAGAAGAACGTTTTATAGACAGAAGCAATTTCTTAGGTGAGGTCCGCTCTTCACAGGTGTCACAAGTTGACAAAAACAAACACCTAAGCAGGACAATCTCCTGTCGTCTCCTTGATCTGGGAGCCAGAGAGACGCTGCAGCAGTTAAGAGCTAAGTGCTGCTCTTGCAGAGGACCTGAAGTTGATTCCTAGCACCCAGACATCTCAAGATAGCCTGCTACCCAAGCTCCAGCCGCTGAGAGACAGAGACAGATGGGCAGGCCATGCAGAGTGAGTGAGAATTAGCCCCTGCAGCCTGTCTAATAGCCATTCACCACCGTCCATGTCTATGTGTACCTAATACTTGTGACAAGCAGGCAAGTCCTTCTGCCAAGCCAAATGCTGAGAATGGCATCCGTGTCTAGGCCCCTGGCAGCGATCCACCCCTGCTTTGCCGGAAGCTCCCTGCTTGATACACTCTCATGTATTTACAAAGTGTGTTATCTATGGCTTTCTTTGTTGCTTTCACAACTGTGGTCATGTTGGAATATGCTATCTGGAACAATCTGAAACTTGTTCCCAGGCAGGTCACTCACATTTGCTTAGACAGGAAGAATAGTTAGTCCCTTAATGAGCTGTCACACGCATATTCAGAACCTCAGGGCTCAGTCAGTCAGTCCTTCTGTCTGTCTGTCTCTTCCCGCTCCCTCCCTCTCTCCCCATCCCTCACCCTATCCCTGTCCCAGGAAGAGTTCTCAGATTTCCAGGGCTGGGTCTGCCAACTGTTTTCTGATTCAAAGAGTGTGGTTTTCCCTCCAGCCCGCAGCTCTGGAGACGCCAGCTTGCCTTTCCAGCCTCTCAAATGCTCCTGAAACGGTCCCCAAATGTCTGCTTTACACTTTTATCTATGCAGCTAAGAACCCTCAAAGGCAGCCTATGTTCCTTGGTGACATATTGACTTTAAAAGTGGCCGCGCTACGAAGGCCTGGTACTTCAGAGCTGATCTCACAGCAGTTTGGCTCCGTGTGGACCCAAGCATGAGATAGAATGCTGCCATCGAGGGAGTGCTGGCTGCCAGGGAGTTTTATGCAGCTTTTAAAGAGAATAATTTGAGCGTCTGCCTTGTGGGACAAGCACACGTGGCCACCACCTCAACAGACAAGATAAACTCAGCCCATTAGACACTGTCTGGAGGAGCGAGCTATAGGACAAACAGACAAGGGAGAAGGACATTCGGAACAGCCAGAACCTTCCGAGAGACAGTAGGAGGGGTGGGATCTCAGCAGAGGCAAGGGCAGCAGCCGGGTGCTCGGTGCTGGACAGTGCCCATCCTTAACAGGGTTGCATGTGGTGAGAGGAAGGGGGCATTTGGGATGGGAGGAGGTCTTGTTTTCTAGCTTAGGAGATGATTCCCCAAAAGGGACACTGACATTTGCTTTATTTGCAATACAGAGCCATGGAAACCAGGCCATCATGACCTAAGCTTGCTGACTGCCTCTTGAACATGCTCAAACCCCTCAGGGCAGACACAAAGTGTCACTATGGAAGATAGTTTAAACAGTGTCATAGACTCAGGGGCGACACAACCACAGCTCCCTCCCACCTGCCTGGCATGGCAGCATGCACCTGAAGTCCCAGCACTAGAGAGGCAGAGGCAGGAGGATCCAGAACTCCAGGCCAGTCTGGGTGCATATCTAGCTCTTGTCTCAGAAACCAAAACAAGCCAGTTATGGAGGCACATGCGGGCAGACAGATGCTGAGGGCCCGAGAAGAGGGAGCACAATCTGAGGCCGTGGCTCGGTTTGCAGAGGGCTGACAGAGCATCCTCAAAGCTCTGGGTTTGCTCCTCAGCACCCAGAGGACCACCCTGGAAGACAGTCAGGACCTGACCTCCTCTTTAAGGAACTCTTGCAGATTGAAAGGAACAGAGACCAGCAACCAAGAGGCAGGCATGTCTCTGACTTTGAGGCCAGCCTGGAGTAAGTTCCAAGACAAACAGGGCTACGTAGAGAAATCCTGTCTCAAAAAAAAAAAAAAAAAAAAAAAAAAAAAAACCAAAACAAGGACAGAGATCACCCAGCTTCAACTTTGCAGCTGCTGTCCTCAGACTTCTCTGCTCTCAGGTGAAGAGATCAATGGAAAACGAGCCCCCTCCTCTAAGGAGGTGCTCTGTAGACAGAGACTGCATTTTTGCTTCCCAGCCTCCCACACCAGAATAATCACACACAAACTATTTTAATTACAACACTGTTTGGCCAATGGCTCAGGCATATTCCCAGCTAGCTCTTATATCTTAAATTAACCCATTTTCAAAAATTTGCTTTATTGTTTTTGAGATAGAATTCATGTAGCCAAGGCTGGCCTCAAACTTACCCCATAGCAGAGGATGACCTTGAGTTCCTGATTTTCCTGCTTCCATCTATTGAGTGCACCACACCAGTTTGTGCAGAACAGGGGATAGGAGTCAGGCTTCTTTCATGCTGGGCAGGCTCTCCACCCACGGAACTACAGCCATGCAGGCTCTCTACCCACTGAACCACAGCCACGCGGGCTCTCCACCCACGGAACTACAGCCATGCAGGCTCTCTACCCACTGAACCACAGCCACGCGGGCTCTCTACCCACTGAACCACAGCCACGCGGGCTCTCTACCCACTGAACCACAGCCACGCGGGCTCTCTACCCACTGAACCACAGCCACGCAGGTGCTCTACCTACTGAACCACTAGCACAGCTTCCATTTTTACAAACAGAGATGTTTGTTCTTCTGTTCTGTTCAAAATGGATAGCGAGTCAGGCATGGGAACACACCTGTGAACCCAGCACTCAGGGTCTGAGGCCAGCTGAGACACCGAGAGACCTGCTTCAACAAAGGGGTGGAGGCACTTGCCTACCATGTCCAAGGCCCTGGGTTCCACGCTAGAATCAGGGGTAAAGCTTCTTGGTGAACTAGGGAACTGGCTATTTGACCCACTTTCTCTAGTATGATATTTCCTCCGCTGGGGTCTGGGCTGGACTGAGAGGCAAGTCCTGACCTGTGCTAAGGGCCCTAGAGTCAATTTCAAGACCCACATTGTTCTGGCTTTGTTCTATTGTTTCAAACTAGAGACACTGGCCCTCAGCTAAAGAATTGCCTCCCTCAGACTGACCCACGGGCAGGTCTCTGAGGCTGACTGACATAGAAGGGCCCAGTCCACCGTGTAGGTCCCTATGTAGGTGGGCCTCGGCCTTATAAGAAAGGTTGCTAAGCAGGGCATGTTAGCACACACCTTTAATCTCAGCAGAGGAGGCGGGGCAGACAGATCTCTGTGAGTTCTAAGCCAGGGCTGTGTAGTGAGGCCCCTATCTCAAAATAAAGTACAATAAAATAAAATAATATAAAATAAATCCTAGCTGACTATTAGCCTGGGAGCAAGTCAGAAAGCAGCATTTCTCTACTGTCTCTGCTCCAGTTCCTGCCTTCAGGTCTCTGGTGTGGCTTCCCTGAATCCAGGATGGCTGACTCTAACCTGTAAGCCAAATAAATCCTTTCCTCCCCAAGCTGCTTTTGGCCAGAGTTTTATCAGAGCCACAGAAAGCAAATTAGGGCACACAGGGCATGGTCTCCGTTGTCACCTCTGTGAAGAGACCCTGATTGCTGATATCCCCCCCCTCCCCCCCCCCCCCCCGCAGAGCACAGGGATCCCTCTCCTGAGGACCATGAACCACATTTGCAAACAGATGTGACACCCCTCCCCCAGGAAGCTGAAGGAGACTGGGGGCCTTCCAAGGCCTGTGACTAACCGCTAATGCTGCTGTTGCCAGTCAGCCTCATTAGCGGAGCAATTTGAGCAGGGGATGGCATTACGCTAATTACTCAGAGGCTTGTTAGAGCGAGCACAGAAAGGTCCCGCTATCCGGAAATTAATCAGGACCCTGGCACATTGTTGGGACTCGTGAAAGCAGGCGTATAAAAAATGAAAGGTGAGCAAAGTTGCACAATAATTTCTGTTATTTTCCTACTACTTTATTTCCTCTGCTGGAGAGGACGAGAGCCATTGTTCACCCTCCTTTCTCTTCTTCCTCAAAGCTGTGCGTGGGACGCGCGCAATGGCTGGCCTCAGAGCTCAGCAGCATTAAGCCCATTAAGAGAACCTCGCAGAGGCAGCTGCACTTTTCTTCAGCTTGCTCTGGGGAGGGGGTGTCCTCCAGTGACTGACAGCCTCCAGTGACAGCCCTGCTCCAGCAAGGGCCACTCCTGAGCTATCCCCCCCATCGCCGCCATCCTTGTTGCAGCCCGAGGGCCCTATGGGACAGCTGCATGCCGCACTCTGGGCCCCCTGTGACATCCTGGCTCGTGTCACAAAGTTCCACACCTCTTAAATTTCAGTCCAGTGACCACTGGGTGCTCAATGGAACTTCATACCTCCAATTCACCATAGCTTCCCAGGGTCCTATATGACCTGAACCCTGGCCTTGCCATCTAGATTCATTTTTTGCTGGCAGCTCTCCTCTTGGGGGTGTCCTCTCCCCACACACTTCTGGTGGGTGTACCTTAAACCCCACATCTGTTCAAATTGCAGCTGGATCCTTTCCCTGCATGTGAGGACCTCAGTGATCATGCCACAAAGATGGATGCTTGGTGGGTGGAGGTGGCGTCCTAACCACACAAGGGGAGAAAGGAAGAGTGTGGTATCGTCGGTCTGTCCTGAAACAGGGTCCAGACATGCTGGACCGTCACTCAAAGGCAGTAGCCATTGAGCACAGTGGCGCTCACCTGCAAGGCCAGCACTTGGGAGAGGAGGCAAGCGGATCGGGAGTCCAAGGCCAGTCTTGGCTACAGAGTAAGTTCAAGACCAGTGTGTGACAGAGACCCTGTTACTAAATGAACAGGCTGGGAATGCAGTTCGGTTGATAGTGCACCTGCTTCGCCCATACAAAGCCCTGGGTTCCGTCCTCAGCACCTTAGAAACCAGATGTGGTGATAGGAGCTGTAAGCCTAGCATTCAGGAGGGGGCAGAAGAATTAGTCAGCCTTAGGTGCCCTGGGGTGATAGCGATGCTTTGTGTTGTCATAGCCCATTGGTAGCCACACTTTTCCCACCATTGCGGTGGAGATGGGTTTTTGAGTTGAGATGAAAAAATGTATTTTTATCAAATGGATTTTCAAGTGACTTCCAGGCACAGCAGCCTAATACAGGGGCTGGGGATTCATGCCTTCTTCCAGCCAACCTCTCCTGCTCCCTAATACAGGGGCTGGGGATTAATGTTTTCTCCCAGCCAACCTCTCCTGCTCCCTCCTGGCCCAGGGCTCCCCAGAACCTAGGACAGCAGAGGGCATGGGGGCGGAATCATCTACATATGTCATAGCCATCCTTGTGGCTGCTCATGCTGCCGAAAGAGGGCATTCGTCTGATGATGGGGACCACAGCTCAAGCCTTGGTCTGGCCAAATTCTGCTCCGAGAAATTCTGAAGAGCCATAGTTACTGAAACCAGTTCCACCACAGGGGTGAAGGGCAAGTTGACGTCAGTTTGGGGAACTGGGGGACAGAGGTAACAAGGAAAAGCCTTGCGTCTTTGTGGACCCACCGCCCATGCTGTGCCAGCTGCATCCCACCTCTGCCAGCCCGGGTCCCCCCGCCCTGCCAGGCCAAGGTATAAAGTCACTTCAGGACCTGGCTGGGCTGCTAGGAGGGAGAAAAAGCAGTTCCAGAGACAGATGGCTCTTCACTAAGTCACCTTGCAGTGGCATTCAGGTCCAGACACGTTGTATCAGGCTGTGTCTCACAGTTGGGGACAAGGAGTCCCCAGACAACTGGCTTTGTTCTCGCAGCATTCTTGGGGAAGCTATTAAAATAAAAGAAATAAAGAAAAATGAAAAAAAAACATGGCAACTCACAACTGCCTATAACTCTAGTTCCAGGAGATCTGGTACCCCCCCCCCCCCGCCTCACACACACACAGACATTACGTGCAAGCAAAACCACCAATGCACATAAAATAAAAAACCAAAAACCAAACAGGCTGCTCCAAATCCAGGGGATAGAGTTGTCTGCTGCCAGTGCCATGCTGTGCCCAGATGAGGGATGCTCTGCCAGACCAATGGCTGGAGACAGTGCCAAGGACACTCTCGGGAGACCAGGTTCCCTCTCTACTGTGCATTCTGACCTGAACTAAGATGCATTTTCCCCAAAGCAGGGCAGGGCAACTGACCCCTCCAGGAGGACACCCCCCGGCTCTGAGGTGCTCTGATCCACAGACATAAGGGGAGCCACCTGTATCTTCTGTGATCCCAGCCTTAGGTGCTGTGAGAGGCTGAGGTGGGACTGGGTAGGAGACACCCTGTTCACAGCCAGGTCCTCATTACTTGGTCTAGGGTTAGATTCTGCACCTGGACAAATGTAGCAATTTGCTGGTGACATTTTTGGGTATCATGTGTTGGGGACAGGGTATGCCACAGGTGAGGACCCTGGAGGCTGAGGAGGTACTATAGTTTGGGGAAACACATGCAGTGACCAGTCCCAAATGTCAGCCCAGAAGCACAGCTTCCGATGGGAGGAAGCCACGGGGAGCAAGAACGAGAACCAGAGACACCAGTGTACAAAATACTTCCAGGCCCAAGGCAGCAGTTGCCCGACCGGCACAGACCTTCACCCTGTTTTCTGCAGTGTGCCCCCATTCACCTCTCCTGTGACAGCTAGTGTGTGACTCATTCTTCAGACAGAACAGAAGGACACCACAGCCTCCCTCCAAGCCGGATGGCCCAAAGACTCCCAGGGCTGGCGATGCTGCGGGCAGTTTAAAGGAAAACTGCCGGGTTTGCCTCCCCTGGGCGGCCTCTGAAGGGTGCAGCCACTGTGGGGCTGGTCCTGCACAGCATCTCATTTGGCCCCCACTAGAAAAAAAAGGGTGGTGGGTTGGGTAGGGTGGGTTCCATGCTGGAGAGCGGGTGACCCGAAGGAAAGACTTTCTGATTCTGAGGGGCTGGCACCACAGCTCAGTAATGAAGGACTTGCCTAGCTGGTGCGACATCCCAAGTTCAACCCCTAGATCGACAAAAGGGGGTGGGGCTAACAGATGGCTTGGTTGGTACAGTTCCTGGGTGCCTGGCACAAGCACGAAGAACTCGGTTGGATCCCCAGACCCTGCGCAAAAACACTGGGAGTGTAATCCTAGCATGGGCAGGGTGGGGAGGCAGGAGGACCGCTGGAGTTCATCGGCTGATACTCTAGAGAACGGCTAAACTTCTGGCACCTTCAGGCCCAATGAGAGACCCTGTCTGACAAAGTAAAGATGGGCTTTCCCTCATTGGCTGAAGCTTCTGGCAATGCACTTGTAGATATGCCCAGAGATGTGTCTCCTAGGTGACTCCAAATCAAATCACACTGGAAGAATTCACCATCTCAGGGTCCTCGTATGGAAACAGAGTTTTTGTGAAGGTGGTTAGTCAAGGTGGGGGTCCCTTTGGTTGGAGTGGTTAGGCTGTCCTAATACAATGGCTGGTATTCTTCTCTGGAAGGAAGTCCCTTTGTGACTTTGTGATAAGGACAGTCACAGGGAGGACAGGCAGGGATTAGAAAGTAACCATAAGTATCCAGGTGGTGGTGGCACACACCTTTAATTCCCTTTAATCCCAGTACTTGGGAGGCAGAGGCAGGTGGGTCTCTCAGTTCAAGGCCAGCCTGGCCTACAAAGCAAGTTGCAGGGCAGCTAGGATGTTTACACAGAGAAACCACGTCTCGAAAAATAAAAGAGAAAGAAAAAAAGGAAGGAAGGAAGTGAAAGACCCTCAGAGAGGACCTTTCCTCTCTGATGAAGACCCCAGAACCAGGACACTCCGAGACCAGGCCACAGGATGCAATTAGCAAGAGGTTTATTGAGTAAACACAGGTACCTGTGGGCGGCAAAGTCTTTCGGAGGACTTGCGCACCTGCCAACTGGAGGGCGAGCTTTTTATAGGGGAGAGCAAAAAGCAAGTTTACAGAAGCAAAAGCGTGGTTATCGGTCGATCGGAATGAGGCAGGGGCATGAATGGTTTCCTCTCTCAGCATGGATGCCTGGCCTATCTTATAGATATCCTGTTTTGCAGTCAACCTGTTTTTGTTGATGTCCTATCTTATTGACATCCTGCCTTGCAGTCTTCCTATCTCATAGACATCCTGCTCTCTCAAGCACATGGGATGTTCTTATGAGAGCAGGCTGGCTGCTGCCTGCTGATCCGGAGAATTTTTTTTTAAAGCAAACAGGACGTTCCCCCGGGAGCATGCTAGCTGCGGGTTTTGAGGAGGGGGTCTGTAGGGTCTTTCAGAAGGAAGGAAGGAAGGAAGGAAGGAAGAAAGAAAGAAAGAAAGAAAGAAAGGTGAAAAAGTAGCCATAAGCAGACAGGCCGTGGTGGCACATGGCACATGCCTTTAATCCCAGCACTCAAGAGGAGAGCCAGGCAGATCTCTGGGTTTGAGGCCAGTCAGTCTGGTCTATGGAGTGAGTTCCAGGCCAGGCCAGGCATCCTCAGAGTGGCTGGGGGAGGCAGGACAAGCTCCCCAGCCCAGCTTCAGGGTAATCTACACCTGACACCCGGACATTTGGGACTTCTGAGAGAATAAGAGTCCGCTGTCTTATGCCACCCCGTCCATGGTGTTGCCACAGCAGCCACAGGAAATGAGCCCACAAACCCAGACCTCCCCCTCTCCCTAGCCATACCCAGCAAAGGGCTGCAGTCCCCAGCATGGCCAGTGGGGGCGGTATTGCTAAAGAGCTGTGAGCTTAGATATGCCCCTGGCTGCACTGAGAACAGCCAAATGGAGGTGTGAACACTCCAGCTCCCCCTTAAACAGCCCAGTGGGTGGGCTCATCATAGGGCCTCACCTCCCATCTGGATCCCCTACTCTCTTCCTCAGGCTTCAAAACTGGCAGGATCTAGAGCCAGCAGGCTAAAGGACTGGGCTTAGGCTGCAGAGAGGCAGCCACAGCTGGCCACATACAGGGCTGGGCCCAGACACTGTTTGCTATTCTTCAAAAGGCTGAACGTTCGAACCCCTTGGTGCCCATCAGAAGACCTGACCCCAAACCACCCTATGCCAAGAACAATGGGTGTTACCGTGGAAACCCTCCCCAGAGAAAGGCTGGATCCCAGGAGCAGGCCAGGGGACTGTGGAATAAGGGGGCTTGGCACCCCTGCTAGCCCCAGCTGCTGGGCCTGAGCAGGCACCGGGCTGTGGCAGCTGTGTGCGGAGGGTGTGTGTGTGTGTGTGTGTGTTAACATCAGAGGTCATTCGGGTCCAGGTACGCAATGGTCTTTTACAGCCAGACCTCACCCCCTCCTCCAAGACAATCAGTCGCTCCCACTGGCTGTCAGGTGAAGGTGACCCCAAACCACTTGTCTGCTCTCACCTCTACGCAGGGGCCACTTGGGAACATGTTATGGTCAGAAGAATCACCCGGTCTTTATATAAAATTTGGACACTAGAAGCTAGAAGTAGAAAAGTCAGAGGCAAGAGGGTGTGGGCATGTGGGTGGGTAAGAGTAAGGACAGTAGGAGTGGGGGAGACAGGAAGAGAGAGAGGGAGCTGCCTAAGCAGAGAAGGCAAGGCACAGCACAAGGAGAAACCAAGTCAGGACCCAGGGGCATGCTGAAGAGCCAAAGCAGTGAAGAGGGGGAGTCTGCGGGACAGGAGCTGTCGTGAGCCAACTCAGGCCCGCAGGTTGCCTTTCCTCAACAAGTCTTATTGGCACACGCCTTACTTGTGCAAACCTGTGCTGTCTGTGGCTGTGTACACGCTAGTGGGAGACAAAAGTTGTGACAGTAACTACATGGCCTGCAACACACTGCCGAAAAAAGGTATCC